TAGTTACTCTCTCTTGAACGAGGGATCTTGAATATTTGATGCGATCTCCAGTGCAATGGAGCAAAATGGAAATTATTTTTGCAGAATGGAAAATAACCCACCTTGAGCATTATGGCCCCAAATATAATCATTACATCATTACAATCATTACTATCATTACCATCCCTCGTAAGGCCTCACACCTTAATTACATATGCATCTCAAAGTAATCAAAAAACCACGACAGACTGTGGACTCTGAGAAACAAACTGAGAGTTTTGGGGGAGGGTAGTGGGGGTGAGCCTGGTGGTGGGTATTAAGGGGGACACATATTGCATGGAACACTGGGTGTGGTGTATAAACAATGAATTTCGGAACACTGGAAAAAAATAAAATTCAAAAGAAAGTAATCAAAAAAGAAATAGAGATCTTCAATAAGTGATCATTCATTTCTCCCTTAAACAAATATATAGTTTGGGGCGCCTGGGTGGCTCAGTGGGTTAAGCCTCTGCCTGCGGCTTGGTCATGATCCCGGGGTCCTGGGATCGAGCCCCACATATGGCTCTCTGCTCAGTGGGGAGTCTTCTCCCTCCTCCCCCTGACACCTGTCTCTCTGCCTACTTGTAATCTCTGTCTGTCAAATGAATAATTAAAATCTTAAAAAAAAAAAACCACAAATATATAGTTTGACCATTGATACGATCTCATTTGCACTTCACACAATGTTGTGAAGTAGGGTGAGGCATTGTGACTCTAGATAAATCCAAATAAAGTCTGTGCTGATATTTGGTTTTGCCCAGCTTTAAAAATGCTCCCAGACCCCTAGGTCAGGACATCTACCACTCACTCCCTAGAGAGGATCTCAGACTAAAGAGTAGATAATTGTGTCTCTGAGGAAGCAGGTTCCCTGGCTAAGCATCAGGGACAGAACACTGACCTTCAGAGAGTCTAATAAATTTGTGGACAGAGGGAAACACAGCACCTGACTCAGAAAAATCAAACCCCTCTTGTAAAACAGGCCTTTCAGACATAGATGCACTATGACTAGTACCACTTAATTCTAATATGCATGTAACATGCTTTTTTAAAAATTTTTTTTAAAGATTTTATTTATTTATTTGACAGAGAGAGATCACAAGTAGGCAGAGAGGCAGGCAGAGAGAGAGAAGGAAGCAGGCTCTCTGCCGAGCAAAGAGCCTGATGTGGGGCTCGATCCCAGGATCCAGAGATCATGACCTGAGCTGAAGGCAGAGGCTTAACCCACTGAGCCACCCAGGGGCCCCAACGTGTAACATGCTTTAACAACATCCTCAACTCTGAGAACAACTTACCCGTGGCCTCTGTGTGTTTGCTATCCGTGTGCCTCTTCTAATTCTTTGCTTAGGTCTTGAGCCCATTACCAGTATTCCTGACTCTTCTATGTTTTCAATCAGTTTCACCTCTTTTTTCCAGCCAACCTCAGCCTGCTGCCTTCAGTGAAGAATCTACCTCCCACCAAGTTTTGACCTGCCAATCACGATTGTCAGCTGCTTATCATTCTCCAGCGATGCCTACGTTCAGCAACACTAGCACATTCTGCGTTACATGTGAAGCCCAGCCAGATCAACAGACCTTATCTGCGCTCTGAAACTTCTAGTGTGGTAGATATTTTACCTACCTGAAAATGCTTTTACTCAGGACCCGGGCCACATGTGCTGGGCCCCAAACCCCAAGTCCTTTCCACCATGCCTCGTTATCTCCCAGAACAGGAGTCATGCCAGAGATGGACCAAATGTAAACACTGATTGTAACCATCTGCAAAAACATATTTTTAAAACACACTGTACCTCTATAAATTTCTTAGACTGCATAGAAAGTAGATGATTTTTAAATTTCTATTGAATTAGCTTTATTGTTAGTGTCAGTTAATATATTGTGCATTGTTGACGTCCTGGGCATGTGCATGGCACATCATTATTTTCAAAACAATTTTATACAACACAGGCAAAGAAGGCACTTACAAACCATAAAAAATACTTGATTGTTCCCATTTAGAAGCTGAGAATTCTGAGTCTTAAAGATATTACGTGAATTTATTAAAAATCGCAAGCTAGGAAGTACCTGGACCAGGGACTGAAATCAGGTAATTTTAATTTCTGATGCAGAACTCTTTCCTCCACATATTATGGATTCCCTGGAAGGCTGTTGAGATTGGTAGCTCATTAGCCCCTACTCAAAATGGCCTCACTAAGCTGTGATTTTAGAGGACTTGCACATTTTCCCATAATATTCCTGTTCCTCCCACGGGGAGGAAGTTGTCAGTTACTTTCCTCTTTTTGTCGCTGTGGCTTTTTATAGTAGTTCCCCATTATCCCTCCTTTTAAATTCCTGCTACCAATTTGCTGTTGGCTTGAAATCCAATCATTAAATGTTTAAAATAAAAAATATCTGCTGGCTATGAGAGACCATCTAAAAGTAAATCATATGAGCTTGCATTTTATAGATTTTTGGTTGCTCTTTATAATCTTTTTTTTTCTGACTGTGAAATTAACCCATGCTCATTATTTAAAAAATAACACAATGAAAAAAAAATAACACAATGTAGAAAGGTTTAACCATGAAGACTGAATACACAATCTTTAACCTCAGCAGGCAGATAACAACGCAATATTTTCGTGCATTTTCTATTGCATACGCTTTAATATTATTACTATTAGTGTGGTTATCATTAATGTTATTAGTTTTAGAAAATGGAAGTTTGTACCGTGCTTTTTTCACTTAGCATTTAAATTGGAATATTTTCCTATGTAAATAAATAATTTTCAAACACATGAATTTTGATTTCCATATAATGGAAATATTTTTCCATTTTACGGTGTGAATATGCCATAGTCTATTTAGCTATTTTTCTTTGTTTCACATATTGTTGCTATTGCCTTACATTTTGGGCTATGATTCTATGAAAATCACTTTTGTCTAATCACAACTCTAACTTGGATTACTAGTTCTGAATTCAAGGTCTAAATTTACGAAAAATGCAGGCGCTAGCTACACATTGCCAAATACTTTTATCAACAGTTATATAAATTTATACTCCCACCAAAAGTGAAAGAACTTTAATTATTTTTAGTTACTTACTCTAGCTCTGATAATGATTTTTCTTGCTCACTCCAGGTTTGCTGGTTGTGTTTCAAATATTTGACGTTGAAATTAGAGGACACTAAAAATGTAAGGTGTTACTACAATCAAGAATGCAAGGATTTCATTCCACAATTACAAGTTCTTATTTTTAAAATTCAATTTTATTTTTAATAATTAGAAATAATATTACTGATTCACACAAATCTACCAAAGGCCTTGTGCTTTGAGCTGTCTTTATACCATGTGGGGACTGGCACACAGAGCCATCTGTACTCTTCCTTACTCCCCCCTTCAGATTTGTATGTAATTCCCAAACAGCTGTCTGATATTAAATTACAATCTGTAACAGTGCCATAGTGTAAAGTTAATTTGTCATACTGTTAGTAAATCTGTTGGGAGAAAAAAAGAACTCTATCATAAAGCATAACCATTTTCAGGATATAAAAAGGAAAAAACTCTTTTAAAAAAGTTAAGAAACTTGAAAAACATATTATTAGGATCTGTCTTAGTCAATTTTGGTTCCTCCAACAAAATACCACAGAGTGGGTGGCTTATAAACAGCCAAAATTTATTTCTCACAGTTCTGGAGGCGGGGAAGTCCAAGATCAAGACGTCAGCATGGCCACGTTTTGATGATGGATCTCTTCGTCATTGCCCATGGCTGACTTCTTGCTGAGTCCTCATATGGTGCAAGGAGGTAGGGAACTCTCCCAGGCTGCTTTATAAGGGCCCTAATCCCATTCATGAGGGCCCTGCCCTCCTGACCTAATCGCTTCCCAGAGGCCCCATCTCCTAAGACTGTCATCTGGGCAGTCAGGTTCCAATATGAATTTTGGAGGAACACACATTTAGAACATAGCTAGATCTAACAGTAACAACAGCACATGATAACAATGGAATAAAGAAGATCCCCAAATCCTTATTTATTAGATGGTATTAGTAAGGCAGGATCCCTTTATAGTTCAGGCTATAGAAAGGGGTCACAAACCTCAAGACAATTCATTTAAAGTAAGCACATTTCCACAGTGGGTACATTTCACCAGCTTTCATGATTATCCTCTCACTATGGACTCAAACTACCATCTTTACTATTTGTGCCTCTGACCCCCTTATATCAAATGAACATAATGAACCCTAAAATTGAGAAGACCAATGTTCATGGACCATGGCCAGTGGTTTCACTGGATGATCAGGGACTTGGAAGGAAAAGGAATGGGAAATTGGTGACTAAGAAATTTTAGGAAGAGGTATAAGATCAGATCTGCTGAATAGGCAAAATACATGAAGATATCCTTTGGATCAAGTCAGCCTCTTTCCCCAGCCACCCCCTCACTGCTCAAAGAACGAGTCATCCTATCCACTTGATTATTAAAATCACCCTCTGCTGAAGGATGCTTTCAATGAGCATTCATATGGGACACAAATACAGAGATTATGCATGGGGTCAGCAAAACGGACTTGGACTCAGCAAGGTCGATCTGACTACAGCTACTGTTGCAGTGCCCAATCTGTCAGCAGCGGAGCTCCCGAGACCAACACCAAGACCCAAGGTAACACCATCCTCCAGGGTGATCAGCCAGCCTCCTTGTGGCAGGTTGATTATATTGGATTGTTTCCACCATGGAAGGAGCATCATTTTGTCCTTAGTGGAACAGACACCCTGGACACAGACTTGCCTTTCCTGCACACGATTCTTCTGCCAAACCTATCATGAACTCACAGAATGCCTTATCCACCATCATAGTATTCCACACAGCATTGCTCTAACCAGGAACTCATTTTACAGCAAAAGAAGTGGGACATGCTTGTGCTCACTGACCTTATTGTGTTCCCCATGATCCTGAAGCAGCCAGCTTAAGAGAACAGTAGAATGGCTTTCTGACACTCAGTTACAGAGTCAGCTAGGTGGCAATACCTGGCAGGGCAGGGTCAAGGTTCTCCACAAGGCCATATATGCTCCAAATCAGGATCTGATATATGGTGCTATTTCTTGGATAGCCAAGATTCAAGAATCCAGGAATCATCAAGGTGTGAAAATGAGAGTGGCACCATTTACTAGTACACCCAGCAACCTACAAGTAAAATTTTTGCTACCTGTTATCATTAATTTTATAATATGCTGGCCTAGAGATTCTAGTTCCAGAGGGAGGAATGCTTTCATCAGAAAACACAACAATGATTCCATTGAACTGGAAGTTAAGACAGCCACATGGCCACTTTGGGCCTCGCATGTCTCTGAACCAACAGGAAAAGAAAGGAATGACAGTGTTGGCTAGGGTCATTGATCCTGACTACCAAGGGGAAATTGCGCTGTTCTTCTATAATGGATGTACAGAAGAGTATGTCTGGAATACAGGAGATCCTGCAGGGTATCACTTAGTGTGACCATCCCTTGTAATTGAAGTCAATGGAAAACTACAACAACTCAATCCAGGTAGGACTTCTAATGGTCCAGAGTCCTCAGGAATGAGGGTTTGAGTCACACCATCAAGTCAAAAACCATGATCAACTGAGGTTCTTGATGAAGGTGAAGGGACTATGGAATGGTTAGTAGAAGGATGTAGTTACAAATACCAGCTACAACATGTGAGCAGTTACAGAAATAAAGACTAATTATTGAGAATATTTTCTCCTTATTTTGTAATTTTTATGTTTGTGTGTGTATAAGTAATGACAACATACATTAAACATAGACATACAACATCTATTAAACAAATACTCTTTGTTTTCTTTCCTCTCTTATTCCTTTATCATATAACATAAGATGTACTGACTTTATATCAGTTTTTAAGTATTGCTAATTTTACACCATCGTATTTAAGTTATGAGGTATCAGGAGAAGAATACACATTCCTCAAGGACTTTATCTCCTCTTCTGAGAAAGAGACGTAGTCAGGATAGTTGTACCATGTTGGGTGGAATTATGACCTTGTTACCATCTTCATTTGGAGGTTAAGTATGGTTTAAGGAGATGGGTGCCAAGGTGACAAGGGGTGGACCTATGATGACTAATTTTATGTGTCAACCTGATTGGGCTAAGGGATGATCAGACAACCAGTATGACATTATTTCTGGGTGTGTCTGTGAGGATGTCTCTACAAGAGATTATCATTTGAACCAGTAGACTGAGTAAAGATTGCTCTCACCAATACTAGTGGACCTCAATAATCCTTTCTGGGCCTGAATAGAGTAAAAAGGTAGAGGAAGGTTGAATTCACTCTTCCTGCTAGAGCTGATATACCCAGGTTCTGCTGCCCTCAGACTTCTGTGTTCCTCATTCTCTGGCTTTTGGACTCAGACCGAGAATGACTGCATCAGACCCTCAATTCTTAGGCCTTCAGACTCAGACTGAACTGCACCACTGGTTTTCCTGGTTCTCCAGCTTGTAGACAGCAAAACTGTGGGACTTCTTGGCCTCCACAATCATGTGAGCCAGTTCCTGTAATAAATGTCCTGTATATCTGTATCTATCTATGTTCATATTTATCTATCTTCAATTGGTTCTGCTTCCCTGGAGAGTTCCTTAATCCTGACTAAATGGGTAGAAAGGGCATTTACATAGTATTAATCCCTTTCTTTATACCATACCCAATAACCAGTTATTGTATTAAACCCCAGCTTTATATTCAAATTACTACTACAGCAAACATAAGTAATTAGGGAAGGGAAGTGCCACCTCCAACTGAAGATATTTACCTCCTCTTAGAAGATCCTTTTCCCTAGGGTGTGACAGATCCAGCTCCATGTGTAATATGGTTTCTTATGGTTTAGACTCATCATTTCTTCTATACAAACCATATAGCCAAGTGAATTCAGGAAGAAATAATGAGAAAACTATCAAAACAAAGCAACTGCTAATTCTTAAGATCTATAAATTATAAGCCATATATTCTTAAATATTCATATTTTACACTTTTGCATATATGCTTTTTTCACTATAAAGGGTTAATTATTTTTATATTTCTCTTCCCTTTGATCTTGTACACATTTTCTTTCCCCTTGTAACAGGCATATGAAATTCCCTAGCCCTATAACATCCCTATATTTAAAGTGTAGAACCTTAAGATTTTTTATTTTTGCTGACTCACAAATGAATATAATGTAAGATATGAGCACTTTGCTATCGAACATTATGAAGCGAGGAAATCTTAACTAATGTTTTTTCTTTCTTTTTTTTAATTTAAATTCAATTTAGTTAACATATAGTGTATTATTAGTTTCAGAGGTAGAGTTTAATGATTCATCATTTGCATATAACACCCAGTGCTCATTATATCACTTGCCCTCCTTACTGCCCCTCACCCTGTTACCCTGTCACCCCACCCACCTCTCCTCCAGTGACCTCAGTTTGTTCCCTACAGTTAAGAGGTTTTTATGGTCTGTCTCCCTCTCTGTTTTTATCTTATTTTCCCTTCCCTTCCCTTCCCTATGCTCTTCTGCTTTGTTTCATAAATTCCACATATGAGTGAAATCATATGGTATTTGTCTTTCTCTGACTGACTTAATTCACTTGCCGTAATGCCCTCTAGTTCCTTAATCTCTTTTTAAGACTGGCCTTAGATAAGGTCAGACTGAGTCATTTGCTCTGTGTGTGGTGTGTGTGTGTGAGTGTGTGTACATGTGTGTATCACATGCATACACTTTGCCAGCAGTCAGAACTTCTGCACTGAAGACTCAGATCTCCTGAGCCACTCCTCTTGGGTCCCCAGTTAAGAACACTAAGTACCCCATAATAATCAGACTCTAGCATTCCAAGACAGCCTGCAATTATGCTTATTACAATGATATAAACAACACATAATGTTATAAATGGCACTGTTTATGAGCAAATGCTACTCCTAGATTTTCCTGGCTCAAATTACAAGGGTTGACTATTTTGGGAATTTTTGTTTCTTTAAGCTAAAAAAAGGGAAGAACAAAAGGCTATGATATTTTGACAGCCTTTGCTATTTTTCCACTGACAAATGTGTGGCAGCTTTCAATTTGATCCAAATACTTCTGTTTTTATTCTCAGTCCCATCTCTAAAAATGATTACTGTATTTTGCTATTGGTCTTACACCAGCTAATTTTTATACAGCATATTGATTTCTAATTTTGTTGCTGGCAGTTCATCATTCACTTGTAAGACACATCATTCTTTCTATGAATTGAAGTTTCACATTATCCATCTTGATCCTTTATTCTAAGCAATGTTATCTCCTTTCTTTATACCTCAGGACTTTTTTCCTCCCTAAAGATTTATCTTGTTTAAAAATGCACGTTCCTTCATGCCTTTTTTTTTTTTGTTAATGAGGTATTAAACTTTATTACAAGGCACACAAGGGTATTGAATTTGAAGCTTTGTTTTTGAGGAAGTAGGAACAAGTGACTCACCTAACCTTAACCCTGCACTAGTAATATAAGGTGTGCATTCAGAAGCCCTGAAGCCACGAGGAAGCCAGAATCAGAGGCCCCTGTTCCTCTTAAGTGCAGTTTCCTTCCCTAGGTATGGATTGGTATCAGCACTGTGACATCTGTGTCTTTTGAAGGAGAAGTAAAGAAAGAAGAGAAATACATTGAACCAAATCCAGAAGAAGCAGAAATAGAATTCCAGGTCCATCTACACAATCCACCAGTGTTTGTACCAGGTAAGCATCCTTTATAGTTCTTTCTTAGTTTATCTTTAGGCTAAAGCAGGATCTGATGTCAGCTGGGTCTTCCGGCCAAAAGAAGGCCTCCCTCAGGGCATGGAGGGTAGGGAGAGGAGAGAGGAGAGAACAGAGAACTTTCTCTTTTTAGGAATACTTCCAAACTCCCAGCGGAGCTGGCTCAGTGGAATCTGCAGACCTCCTTACCTACACTCGCCCTGCCTTTACAGACATTCTGCACATCACTCCCACACTAATCTTCTAAAGTAGGGCTTTTATCATGTCACTCCCCTGCTCAGGAACCTGTAGTGGATGAGAATAATAGTATTAATGCCTCACATTAGCATAGAGTCTTTCCATTTACCAAGTGCTCTCACATATGTTATTTCATTTCCTCCTAACAGCGATCTCTGAGTACTTATTAGATCAAACCCAAACTCCTCACCCGTAGCACAGTCTTAACACTTGCTTGACTTGTTGTTAGCTGTCTTCCTCTGACTTTTCCTGAAGAAAGCCTTCAGTCTCTCATTCCCTTCCAGATAGCATTTATTTTCACCTTCAAGAGCTGCCATTTACAGATCCCCCTGTCCTCTGCCTGAAAATGCTCCAGCCTCCTTCTGCCTCCCTATGAAAGTCAGGAGGAAATGCCAGTGTGGGGCGGGTGGAATCCTGGTGTCTGAGAACAGTCTGGGGACAATCCCACCCTTCCTGGCCTCACTTTATGAAGTCTGTACATGGACATATTATGCAGTTTCTTCCCACTCGTGAGGAATGACCCATTGTTAGCGAATCTGTGTTTGGTATATCAGCCTTCTGACCCACATCTACATGTCCTGCGATTTTTTGGCTCAGTTTGCTTGCAGACGCAAAGTAGACAATGATGATACCCACCTATGCTTCCCTCAACTGCCTTATATGGCTCTGAAAAGTTCCTGTCAGAATCCCATCATTAGAAACTATGGTATATCCATTAACAGAAAATTCTGTAGAAGTATTTTCTCAGTTTACTTTGAATTGACTTCCCTTTCTTTTTTGGGAAGGCTTTAAAATTATCCACAGGACATAAACTATTCTCTTAAAACTGAAAGACTAACGGGGGTAGGAGTAAGTAATGCAGACTTTCTTCACCTCTGTAGCCTTCACTGTCCTATAAAGATGTTCCATTTCTCAGTCTCTCTGATAGCTGGGTGTTAGGTCAGATGCAAGCCAAAGCCAAGACTTTTTTCTCTATAAAATTTTAGCCACAATATTAACTTCTGAGACCTTTATGAAATGATCTGTAATGGGATTGTACTCTTCTCTGATTTTTCAAATCCGGTGTTAAAACTTCATGAAAATAGATGTGTAAGGCCCCAAAGTTAACAAATACTCTTCATCTCAGCCTCTATTTATGGAAAAGACTTTTCTTTTTTTCTATTTTTTTTGTCACTCTCTTTACCAGTCT